TAGCCATTTAAAAAAATGAAAACAAGGTGTACGAATGACTTTATCGATGCCGAAATATTTTTGTCTTTACGCCGTTAGATTYAAAAAGCAAAGACAAAAATACCAAAATATATATAAAAGTCACTAACAACCGCATTGACAAGTTTATTCCTAAAGTGAAATAGGCTTTCGAAAGGTTATCACTAAACTGATGCTCATTAATGTAATTTTTATCTTATTTTTGTTTTAGTTGGTGTGATATCGAAAGATTTTACCGATTAAATAAATGTAGATGTAGAACCGAAAAGACTTGAAAAAARGTACTCTCTGTGTGTGTGAAATATCGTCAACGGAAGTTACAATCACTCACCTTTTAATTTGCTCTGGCAGCAGTTTGAAGATAAGTAAATTTGACGATGGAACTTCAGCAGTTCTACCGCGCACGATATCAACCTGCACAAATTAAAGTCTCCAACGGTGATAGTTGAATTGATTACCGTTATWMTAGCTAATATTGCGTAKTGTGGTGACATAATYACTCGGCGAAAAGCCAAAAAGCAAGTAATAAGACAGAATAAAAARTGAATTAGGAAAGAAAAGAGTCATTTCGAATTAAAGAAACAGAGCAAGAAACCTTTCTGCAAAAATGGTTCAACATTTTCCCAGAAATTCTTCTGTCTTTTGTTTGCCGGAAAAATGACTTTTCCCTTAGTGATATTCTGAATGGTCTATCACATACATTGCGCACTGTACATGGCGCCACGAGGAATCTAGAAGCTGTGACGGCTGGTTTGAAAGGGTTTGTGTGTGTATATTTACTGAAGACAACTGTGATCAACCGGAGTTGAATAGAGTTGTTATATTAAAACGTAAAGKCCAAATGTTAATTTTCATGCATTTTAATTAATTTTTCATTACAAAACTTTACAAAAAGCGKGGCTTTAAAGAGTTGGACTCGTAGGTGCATTAGTGAAATTAAAGTTAACACTTGTTTGTATGTTTTCTTATGAAAATATAACCAGTGAAGGCTAACAAATTATGTTCTACTCCTGGAATGATTGCCTCGAGATTTCGCTGCAGATATCCCCTTGTGAAGTTTTGTAATATCACAGAACGGGGAAACACTGAATAAGGCGCGTTAAAAATTTAAACTTTAAAAACGACATGACGTGAAAAGTCCTTTATGCGGTGCAGTGGCGGATCCAGGGGGGTTCAATGGGCTCCTAGGAACCCCCCTCAAGCATGAAAAAAAATAAAAAATAAAATAAATGATAAATGAAATAAAATGAAAACGCATCGTACAATGAATTTTTATTAAATACATTCACACTACATTTGCTACAGTTCGAGAGGCACAGTAAAAAAGTTCGTTTTAGGAAAATGCGAAAACAAAGAGGAATCCCCCTTTGAAAAATCCTGGATCCGACACTGCGGTGATATCAAAACAAGCCTTACTAAAACCGTGTCAGGGCATTCACTTATCCGCTGGCCATGTGATCATCTTGTAGTATAACTTTGCACTTTGATAAAGTAATWATCACTGATCAGTTGAACCAAATCAAGGTGCATACTTTTCACAAACGAATGTTCTGGATAATAATTGACAATSGGTGTCAAACCACTGGCCATTGTCAGCCATGGCAACACAGSCWGTTCCTGGTTTAATTTGTAAGGTACCATGTTTAGGAAGTTTGCAGGTGTTCCATCACTCCATTGATATGTTTTTGTTCGATTTTTGTGGCGTTGGTTCCCTTCAGTCCAATCCAAGGCTCTAGAGACTCGACATGTTATTAAAGAAGAAAAGATATATATTGTCATTTTCTGTACATGTGATGCTCATTGAAAATCCCACCTTGCTTCTCAAATAATTAATTTGTATCTAATAACAATGACATTAGTTTACGCAATCTTTATAAAACTTATTAATAATGCATAAGCTATTGCTCCAATAAGGGCTGACCATTTAATCAGGTGATTGACCTTGTAAATCTGATACAACCACTAGTGGTTGTATCAGATTTACAACACGGTCGTCACCATTGAGAMAACCCAACACTAGCAAAGGTCTCAGTTTTAGTGTCGCATCATAGACCTTCACTAGGTTTTGAAGCAATCAAAGACGGATAACAGAACTCGSTTATGCAACARATGGCTTGCTTTCCATGTGGGATGGATAATTATTCAAAATGTTCTGTGTTGCAGTAAATTGCGCATGCTTAATAGGGACTAAACTCAGCAGTTACCTTATTTGTCATTTTTCGTCAGTTATCTCACTGTAATTAATGTTAATTTGTGTTGGAGTTTTATAAGTCGTTTACAACATTCGCGTCCGTGTTGTATGGGAATTACAATCTCTCGCCTGCGGCTCGAGATTGTAATTCCCATACAACACGGCCGCTCATGTTGTAAACTATACTAACAACATTTGCGGTATTTTTCATCAAAGCGAACATATTTTGACTTGATTACTACACTGAAAATCAGATGAATATGCATGGAATATGGGTTCAGACTGTTGTCTGTAAAAAAAGACGACWGACGGAACATTGACTTAGCTTGTTTTTTATTTGTGTTCCRGGGATGTATGTATTTTTGTGTAGTGTTCTGGAGTATCTTATATCTTCAATCCCCTTGTGTGTAGTCTCCTTCGCAGCCTACCCTTTTGTCGKGCTTCCTGTCCCTCCAGGAAGCCCGACAAAAGGGTAGGCTGCGAAGGAGACTATYTTGTGTGGAAATCCAAAAAATTTATAAAAATTGATTCACATACATACTAATTATTACTTGATGTTTTATTTACACATTTTGTACTCAAACAAATATCTAATTCATGTTAGGAGTTTCTGCTGTAGAAAATGAAACCTTAAATTGTTAAAACTGACAAAAACCTGACTTATGTCTGATAACTGATTCAAAAGCTGTACAGTGAACCCTAAAACTAAATAACAAATTAATGCCATTTAAAATCATAAAGGTATTGTTCATTAGCTTACAACTGGTTATAACAGAGTGACAGCAATCTCTCCGGTGGTGCTACTTTACTCTTTTTATGTCAATAARCAAAAGAACTCAAACATATYGAAGCAGTCAWTWRTTTGATGCAATAGTGCAGTCWCTGATTCTTGTTACTCAATTGACCCAAGCATATTTAGTAAATCCATTTTCAAGCCAAAACAAACACTGCTTACGGTGGTAAACATTAGGTATAACTTTCAATCCAAAGTCATCAAACAAAGCTGTGTCATTGCTATGTGAGAGATGGTTCTTCCAGTTTGGATTTTTTACWTTACCATAGCGGAAAAAATGTTGAAATTCTGTCCTCAATGACTGTGAAAAAGTATCAGTTGAAGACGGTCTGTATTTAAAAGGTTTAGGATAGCCAAAAAAGGCTATTAAATCCCACATATGAAATGAATACTGAGGGCCATCATAACTTTGTGATATTGTTGGAATTGTGACATGGCCAGATGGGGTATGTGTTACAATGTAACGGTATATATGGCTCTTTTGAAACTGTTTTGATGCAGTCATTGCCAGATACTCAACTGGACAAACTTCTCTGATATCTGATGCTAGTGTCAAGTACAGGAATTGAAGAGACTTGTTGGATGTGTTGAAATCATACAATTTAAAAACCTCATCAATTTTGTCAGGTTTACCATTAAAGAATGGCACAAGTTTTTCTCTTGTGTAATTTTGGAGTGAAAACATTGAAGAGTGGATGAAGTTCTTGTTTGGTCTTATACCAATTTCCTGASCAGTGTTACCAATAATAAGTGACACTTCATTTGACAGACCTTTAACAATAGAAACAACTGGTGACTGAGGTACAACATGGCCATCGATCACCCCAATGCCACCATCATATAATCCTTTKGTAGGCAAATCATAACGATCCTTCATTGACCAATAAGGGTAAACGTTCCATGGAATTGCTTTAATTATTTYGTCTGCAGGGTAGTCATAGAGGCATTTYAATAGAAGAGYRTCACCTCTCCCAAAGCACTCTGTGTTTTTCAGAAAAACCATATTATCTTTTGAAGCTTTTGCAGTTGTTGTCATAATATCTGCACTGGGACTCATTGCAATAGCTCTGTGAAAAAGCCCTTTAGCAAATGGTGATGCTGTCAGTGCAAGTATGGATGTCCCACCTGAACCATGTCCTAGCAGGGTGACCTTACTGCTGTCACCTCCAAATCTTTCAATATTGTTCTGGATCCATTTCAGGACCAAAATTTGATCCATGAAGCCGTAGTTGCCAGATGTGTTATATTCTGAGTTAGATGAAAGGACGTCCAGAGCAAGAAATCCAAAGGCATTTAGTCTGTAGTTCAGACTGACAGCAACAACTTGCATTTGTTTTACCATTTCTGGACTTGGGTGCAATCCTGCCTCATTTCCAGAGGACGACACAAGCCCTCCACCATGGATATACACTAATACTGGCAACTTTTCTTCGGCGTATGATGTCGTTGGAGACCAGACGTTCAAATACAAACAATCCTCACTGCCAAAAATATTTTGTATTGAACCTTCATTGTTGAACTTTGCCTGCACGCATTGGTCACCATATTGTGAAGCTTTGAGTGTTCCATTCCAACAACGATTCAAAGTACAATATTCGGGATACTGCCATCGCAATTTCCGTAATGGAGGTACTGCGTAGGGAATTCCTTTGAAAACGAAAACTTCGTCATCAAGAACTCCATCAACATAGCCACCGTCAAGTTTAACCCTTAACTCTTGCATTTCAATTCTCCTCCATCTTTGCAACGACTGTCTTGAGAAGTAATAATAAAACAAGGACGCTAAAATAGCAACAAATACCAATAATAACAAGCAAAAGAGCAGTTTTCTAACGGTCCGTTGTCTTCTTGTTCGCGAAGGTTCGTACAGACATTGCCGTTCAAAGACCGCTTTTTCGAACTCGATTTCCTCGAAATCCTCGTCTGAATCACTGCACAAAGTGTAAGGTTCAGTCCTTCTCCCTAGAGAGATTATTGGGCGAGTTTCATCCTTATTTCTGAATACTGGCATTTTGGWTTATCTTTTCTTGGGCACGCACCATCTGTCTTATTGAATGTCAAAAATTTATTGCGCAAGACTCACAGGAAGCCCAACCCTTAACATCAATCAGTCTTTATTTTATTTATATTATGCTATATCGTTTCACACTGCTTTTAATAAATATTATGCACAATATTTATTTTTCACTTTCGTAAAAATCCACTTAATAAATATTTTAGCTTCTTTTAGATTTTTTTGCAGTAAATCAATCACCATAGAGATCTTAGCATCCTCACCTTTATCTCGACAGCGGAAGACTGTGCACTACAAACATGGCGGATATGGCGCGGAAACTGAATTTCAAACGAACGAAGCCTTTTTCTTTCCGATAAATAATACCAGGTTTGCAGGAAAAGATTTTGTTAGTTATTTTTCTTCGATTTGAGGTTTGATAGCTACTTTTGTGACTTTTAGTTTCATTTGCACAAGAAAATATAATTTCTGCAGGGCAGCAACACATCAATAATTTGTGAAGCTGTAATAGTATTAAGCTTATGACGTTAAGAGATACACAGCATGGATGATGTAGTTACTCTAAATCAAATATGAAGAAACAGAGCAATAAGAAGAGAAGATTTATCAGGCCAAGTCCAAATGAAGAGGTATTAAAAACTTAAGCTTAATGTTACACTGAAATAGTGGACTAGAAACCTCACATACACTTTGCCATAGGCTGCCATTGTTCAAAGTGAACAAGAAAGAAGAAAGAAGATCAGATTAAAGCAGGTTTGAGGCACTGTTAATTATGAGGAAAGCATTTCGCATTTCAATCTATTCCCTCCCATACCACCCCATTCCCTACTTCCCCTGTCATACTTGTGCTTGTTCTGAAAGTACTTCTTCAAGAAAGTAAGTTGTATGATTCATAGGTCAGAGAACAAGAAAAGGCTTTTTCTCTTAAAGTCCGCAAAAGCATCAAAAATAAAAGAGACAGTGAGWTGAAAATATTATCAGAGGAATTGCAGGTAAAACATTTGTGATGGTTTTACACTATCAAGTATCACTGTTTACTAAATATATTTAGTATAACTCAAAGGTAATTTTGATTCTAGAAACAATGGACTGAAAAGCAACTCATTGAGCAGAAAACCTTAGAGGACAAATATAATAAAAACTTGACGAGGCTGGGAGATGGACATACAGCTGCTGTTGTGGTAATAAAATTGTTGATATGACGAATAATGTGTTATAAATGGTTCCTTATTCCTATCAAAGTCATATTCAAATCACAAGCTTGAATAAGACTCTAACTGGTTTATATCTTAAAAAGGGCGATATGTGGGTTGATAGGTATATATTCTCAGTTTGTGTAAAAAGATAAATTTAACACCGTAAAAAAATAAGTGAAATAACTTACTGACGTTTTGGACATTTTAAATCCTTCATTGGAGTAATAAAGAGGTATATGTTTTCTTTGATTTCAAGGATCAGAATACTCACAAGAAAGATGGTAGGGTTCTCACAAAGGAAGACAAGAAAAGGTTTGCTGAAAGTGTTAGCATAATATAAGAAAAGTAGCCCTTTTTGTTTTGATATAAATKATTGTTTGTGTGTGTTGTGTGTAACTTCCTAGCAGTGTTTATTTCCAAACATTTGCCCTAAAACTATGTGACATGTCTACTCTAATGATTTCAGAGCCATTGACAGGCACAATGAAGCCCTTCATCAGGTAAGACATCTTTTGATTATTTCATAATGCGAAGAATACTAAGAATAATTTGGATCTAGTGTGTATTTTTATTCAAATCTTGGGTACTTTGTTTCAGCTTATACTTATGAAGGAAAAAGAACAAGAAATACAAAGATATCAAACTAATGCAAGGTAAGAACTATAATCCATAGTTATCATAGGAGCCAAGTTTAAGAGCAAACTTGACATGTCACATTTTAAGTACATGTATTATCTCAAGTTTTAATTTCTTGTTTGGACACCATATGTAACAGTTTAAGTTTCTTTCATTGACTACCTGGCTTCAAGGATTTTTTGAGAACTATTCCAGGTTTCCTCCCTCCATAAAAATTAATCACAATTTCTATCCTGCTGTGCCATGGGTCAGTCAGTGTTGATAAAGCTTAAATGGATACAGTGTGTCTTACAAATGTATAAAATTAAAGTGTTGTAAAATGAGGCTTTTTATTGTTTATGCTGATCATAATAGGTTTGCCAATTAACATTTTAACTGCAGAGTGAAGGCAATTGAAGCTGAAAAAGCAAGATCTGCTGTTATTGCTTCTCTTCCTCCACCAAAAGATATATTGCTAGTGAGTACAGTAAATTTTGATCTTTTATTTCCATCCACACATTTGATTGTCCCTGTTTTCTGCTTATACTGGCCTCTCATCTATCAGTTGATAAAAAGTCCTTTTTTTTGCATTTTCAGGATTTGGAGCTTGTCAAAGGTATAACATTGTACTAACAGTTTGTGTTCAATATTAGATCCACTGTTTCTTGCTCCATTTCATGTCAAATAGTTTTCTTTTGAAACATAGATAACAAACCACAAACAAAGAAAGCAGAAGACTACAAATCTACTCATTTCCACCTTCAAAGACCAATGATTCAAGTGGAAARAATGGACAAAGATAGTCAGGTTCAACCTGTGAACTTCACTATTTTCTCAATTGTTTCATTTATTCATTTGTTTCTTCCCATTTCTTTYTCCTTTCTCCATTGTGTRAACCCAATTTAATTTGCAGGCCGATGCAAGATTTGCAGCCAAAGTTGCAGAGTTTGAGATTCAAGGTAACCTTGAGGAAACACAGAAAAGTMAGGCAGAACAAGCAGAAAAGGCTCTGTTACGGCACAGACATGCATTGGCACAGTTAAAGATTGAAGAGGTAACAATATTGTGAAGTCTTTCAAGTAAACAAAGTTCATAATGTTATTAACTACCATATCATTGGTTTTATCTTAATGTTTTTGTTTTTTGTTTTGTGTAAAATATATTTCTAAAAATGAATGATTTCATACATGTAATACCAATTAGGATCACAAAAGATTAATGGGTGAGCTAGGAGAATTGGAACGAATAGACAGACAAAGACGTCAAGAAGCTGTAGCTAAAATACCAGTATGTATGAAATAAATTAAAATAACATTAAATTTGTCCTTCTTGGAAATCATGCCATCATTTGTTGGTTTACAAGGTACGAATATTTCAACCTCCCCACAAGCGTGTTGAAGATGCTGAAGAAAGACAACGTGATCTGGAGCAAGCTTTTGAAGACATGTACATGATACAAACAGGTTAAAACTAGACAGTTCAGTTCCATGTAGGGATTTCTCTAACTAGTGATATTATTTACCAGGGTATACTGGTGACTTGACCATTGCACTTGATACAACTGAAGACCCTCTTATTCCAGAACAGCACCAATTCTTAGGTAACTTTGCACAATTCTGCAAATATGTAGCTTTCTTATAAAATCAAAAGCAGAAAAAATGCAATTGTACTATATTTGTGTGGTGTTGTTGATTGGCAATATTGTCACATTGTCACATATAGCCCTGTCCACATAGTCCAGAGATCTGTGTTTCCAGGATTTTTTATCTGGATACTACAATATCTATGTCGACATGTAGCGTATTATGAATAGTATTCAACTTTGAGTAACTCCAGAGATTTCTGTATACRGTGAATGCTAGCTGTATCTGAATACAAATATTTGCAGATTCTAAATTTTTGGACTCATGAGGACTGGGAAAGGTAGTGTAGAGTTTAGATGTTATTTAACTAGTTGATCAGGATGTTTCTGTTGTTTCTAGTTCCAGACAAAAGAAATGAAGATCAACAGGTAATTAAACATCCAAAATGCCTAAAAAGGATTTTTTTACAATTTTGAAATCAGACACAGTTTTATTTTGTGGCCCTTCCTCAATTTAATGTCATTTGTCTTTTAAAGGAGGAGAGCATTCCAACATTTCCTCCTGAAGAATGCCGACCGACAGAAGRTCATCAAGACACCATAGAATCTCAAGAAGATGTTGGTCCTCCTGGAGAGAGTGTCATTGAAGACAARGAACAGAGGGATACAGTGCCACCCAAAGGAGAAGGTATAGAATCTCAATCCATTCCAGGTCTGCTTTCTTCTCTGTTCCTTTCCTAGTTCTTTCATAAGTCTTCCTCCTCACTTTTTCCTCTTACTTTCTTTTTTTTCATTTTGTGAAGTTGTTTTCAATTTAACCTTTTTCAATCTTATTAATGTTAAAAATGACTTGTCGGAAAATATCCAGATGCTGTGAAAAGACTCCTTCTGCGWATCCAAAGACAACGRGAACAAGYCAAGGAAGTAAGGCCAATTGAGGCAAAGAAAGGTAACAYATTTGGCTCCATGGAGAAAGTCTGTGCTTGCCTCATTGATAATTAAATTCTGCTTTCAGATGATAAAGACCAAAAGACTCCTGTTCATAAAGCGGGAAAGTCAACAGGGTATGCTGTATTCCTAATGCCTTTTCTTTTTACAATTTCTAGTGTTCACGTTAATTTCAATTATATCTAGCTCGAGGGTAAATATTATGACACCTCTTCCCGAAGAAGAAGAACATCTATCGGACGAAGATATCCCACGTATCTTCCTACCGCGTGCACACCATGACACGAGGGAATCTGCTCCTAAAGATCTTTCAAAGGATTCTGCAGGAAATGCTCGTGAAGTGCGAATGCTTCTTCACCCGCAGGAAGCAGCAAGAAAGGCAAGAGTGGTGGCTAGTTTAAAGGAGAARGAGAACATCGCACCTATCCAGAAAACAACGGTAATACAAATTCTAGAAACTGATGGCGATGCTTATGATAACGTTTGTGATTTCAATAGGACCTTATTACATGCTACTAATGTTATGTTGGTTTCCATTTAGTTGCAAGGCTTCTTAATTCTCATTTGTTTTATTAATTCTTTCAAGCCTTCTGCTAGTGATGAAGATGAACTTCAGAAACAACAGCGACTGATGCAACAACTAGAGGAACAACGACTCATTCAACAACGTCTTGAAGACCAGCTCAAAGAATACCACAAGAGGGTCGAGGTTCTCCCCAGTGAACCATCCCCAGAACCGTATCCAGACCCATAYGATGATTTTSATGATAGTGCTCAAGGGCAATCTAGAGAAAGTAACAAAAAGGAAAAGACAGAAAAGGATGGGCTCGTAATAGAAAGCAAAGATAAAAAAAWTATCGAAGAAAAGGAGTCTATTGAAGACGGAGTTGGCGAGGGATCTCTATCTTCCATAGAAACTGGTGCACTTTCTCTTGAAGAGCAAACGGYTGATGAAACTTCAGAAACGTCGAGCAGTGTTTCCGGTGCTGGTACAACATCAGAGAGACCACAGAAAATCTCTCCAGCATTAACAAAACTGCATCACCATCTCTCTACTTCCACAACAGATAACAGCAGTCGTGCTACTTATGATTCAAATCATGACCACTTTCGTTCAGCRGGACCTCGTGAACAGTCTTCGTTATCTTTTAAAAGGCTTGAAACAACAGGAGACAGCTTTCCTAGGGAAAGTTCGTCCGAATCAGAGGGCCGACAGGAGTCTGAAGATTTATCATCYAGTTCTGGATCATTGGATTTCAGGCACGAACAAATTCCTACAAGTCGATATTTTTCGCATGGAATTGATCGCACGCTACCTTCAACAACACTAAGTTCCGACAGCAGTARAAATAGAATCAGCAATAAACCAGGCGCAAATCTTAAATCATCAAGCGACACGATTACTACGTCTTATTCTGGACCTTTCCAACGAGTGCAAGAAATACAAAGCTACTTCCAAAGCCCCAATCTAAGAACAGCTGATGTAGTTAATGTTACCCCAAGCCCATCTGTTTCTCAGTCTACGCCTCCATTATCCAAGCCTCCTRGAGGGACACCTAACTACTTAGAAGAATATCGAAGAAAATGGGAGGAAGAAAAATTGCTAATAGAAAATCAGCGCCAGATAATAAAACAAAAACAAGAACAACAACTTCAACGTATGCGATATTACAAAAATATCTTGGATAGGTACGAAAAGGGTAGTTCCAGTGATGTGGAGAAGGCACCTAGAATACCCATGACGAGTACTACATCTACTATACAAGGTCAATTAGCCGTTAGGCCTGTTACTAGACATGCAGATGACATTAGCRTTCTCAATAAAGCAAATGAGAACGCACCTGGCAGTAAGGAAGCTAATCACTTTGCTCGTTTACAAGAAAGTTCGAGCAGCTCTGATAACAGTTTTAGAAAGTCTCTTCCGTGGACGAGTGATTCAAATAGCTCTGGGCGCCTTAGACATCGATTAACRATGACCTCTCGAAAATCAACATCAACGAGTGATTTTAGTCTTCCATCGAGTGGGACAGAATATCGCTCCCTCCCAATTTCACCAAATCCATCAGTCCTTAGTACAAAYCTCGATCTTGCTAATGGAAGTAGGTCCTCAATRACAACACTGTCTGAACTACACGAAATGATGTCAAAGTTTACCTCCTCAAGTGAGAATGAGAAGCAGACTGGGAGGATGAGCTGGTCTGAATATTTAACTGAGGGAACCTCCCCAAAGAGAGGTGCAACAGAGATCKCTCCAGGTGCTCCTTTTAGCACACAGGAATCTAGTACTCTTACCAATTTAACAGATTCATTTTCAGAGGTTCAAGGTGCTACTGATACAGTAATGCAAGAAAAGTGGTACCTTCCTCCAAAGCCTATCACGAGCWCAGTTGGTGGACGTCAGGAATCATTTTCCAATRCCAGTGAATTTCTATTACAAGATCGGAAAGGCGATAAATCTAGAGTGAATTCAGAAAATRAAAGCCGACAGTTTTTGCGGACCAGCGCTCCGAAAACAGGGCCAACATCGAATACTCAATCACCGAGCAACCTCCAAGGCTTAACATCTAGTAGTAGCTCAGAGCTTTATCAATGGTTACCTCCTCCTAAGGCCAGTGTACAGTCCATCAGTTCAGTTGACCATMACAAACAAGGGTTACCGTTAGATATTCAGGCAGTTGATAACTCCCAAAGCAGTAGCTCAGAACGTCATCAGTGGATACTTCCTCCTAAAGCAAGTTCGCAGTCAATCGAGGCTCAAAGAGATGAACTAAGATTAGGTCCTCAAGAAGTTGGCAACGTTCAAAGTTCAACTTCTGCAAGTAGCATAGAGCTTCATCAATGGCTGCTCCCTCCTACGGCAAGTGCGCARTCAATCGGTTCAGATGGRCAACARAAAGKAGGGTTAAGATCGGCTAATGAAGCAGATAGTAACGTTCAARGCTCAACTTCTGGCCTCCACTCAGAGATGCATCMTTCATMTWGGGMAAGYGTGCARMCAATCKKTTCAGTTGAGCTACAAAAAGGAACAAGATCAGATACTCAAGTCGTAAGCAATGYTACAACCTCCGGCAGTAGCTCACCGCTTCAATGGATCATTCCTTCTAAATCAAGCATACAGTCAGTCAGTTCATTGGACCCAGCTAAAAATGTGTCAAGTTTGAATGCTCAAGAAGAKGGTAATGTGCAAAGCACCTCTGGTGGTAGCTCACCRATTCACAAGTGGCTTTTTCCTCCTAAGTCAAGTACACAGTCTATCAATGAGCCATTCACAAAAGGAGTCGACGCAGACAGACAGGTTGCAAGCGATGTACAGTCGTCAAACACAAGTTCGTCACTTCCTCAATGGTTTATCCCACCAAGTACGAATACCTTGGAGTCNCATGACGACTCTCGCAGGAATGGATTTATCTTGCATACCAGCTTTGCTATGACTTCAGGTATCTTCCATTCGTAGCTTTGCGTAACCTCCACATCAATCATTCTTGGTATTGTGAATAGAGTGGCGATGAGGTCAGACACGGCCATGGTCACTATCAAAACATTTGCCTTGGTTTGCATAGTTTTGTTCGTCAAGACTATACCAATGACACCAGTATTACCCAAGGTTGATAGCACAAGTATAACTACATAGGAACAAATCGAAACCACTCTTAGGATGCTTTCAACAGACTTAAGCCCTTCTGGATACATGGGGGGCATGTTTCCAGTTCCATTTCCAGCACTGCCATTTGCCATATCAAAGCCTCTCAAATCACTGCCTGCCATTTTGCTGTGGGAACTTTGTCTGAAATGAAAAAGGTATAAAGTGATTAGCTTCATTGAAACACGATACCGCGCACTTTTCTCATCAGTTCACTTCTGCGCTCAGCTGTGGAAATGTCAGCATGCATCACCTCCTGTCATTCGTTAAGTACAGTGACAAATTTTACTTTTGCAATTGCCTTTTTGATGCATTCGTTGTCGTTGTGTCAGTTTCCTCTTAATTGAAAAAGTGCCTTAAAGACAGTAACTGAATCCATATGGCGACAAGGCGCTTAGCGTCCGCCGCCTTTTTTTTAGGGATTTTAAAGTGCTAAATGTTTTGATATTATAATTATTAAAACTATAATAATTCGACTAATAACGCATAATGTTTCTGTTTAAATAACACTATTCCTTAAATCATGTTAGTTATTTCCTATCTATACTTCATTACCTTCCCGTTAAGCTTTTATTCGCTCTCTTACATTCGGCACAATRAAATTCTGACCATTTTCTGAGMTTSAAAGACTAAGATCAACCWATTTATTACCGAGTTTTCACAGGAAGACGATGTTATCACATGGCTTGAGAGTCTAAGTCAATACTGTTGTTATCTCTGATKCTACTGTGCTTCAAACCATTGTGTGTAAAAAATAMTATTGACCTTCACCATTCAGATCRGCTTACYTCAATCTCAGTTGGACTTTATTTGCTATGTCTTTCAAGGAGGCGCTTTAATAACAGGTGCAAACCTCCCTACGATTTTCAACCCTGAATTTGATAGCGCTGAACAGCGAACACGGTTTGAATTAAGTGTATTTGCTCAATTTCCACTTTGAGTAAGTTGTAATTTGGTTGCCTTTTTGTATTTTTTCAGTCAGTTCGCAATGATATCTTTTCTTCTGTTCATTAGGTATACGTGTTTACTTATTGAAAAGTGTTGTGCATCAAATGAATGGGAAATGTCGATGCAAGAAATTTGAAAAAGAAAATAAATGGAAAGTRAATAGAACTATAGCAGTGGTTTGGGAGTTATTGCCCTTGTTAAAATTGTCTCACCTATATGTAAATCCGTCTCGTCCTACACTCTGTTTTCTCTCTGCTTCTGTGTGGTAGAGCGGATATAATCCGAGTTTTGGATCGTAACGTATCTCCTGCTTTTAGCTTTGCTCTCTCTTGAATAGTGGAGATCATGTATAGCACATCAGTTTAAGAACTACTCTTGATTGTTGAGGAGCTTCATTCGTATGTGCCACTTTGGTTCACCGATGATTTTTTATCATAAGCTGGTCAGCCATTCCTGTCAAAAAAAGGCTTTAAAGTATATTGTGTCAAATGTTTTTAGTCTTCTATTATTGAGAATGACAGTAACATCATTAAATCAAATCGGAAACAATTATATTGTACTTATTTGTTATCATGGATCGATTTTGATTGATGTGGCTGAACAAATAGTATTTATTAATGTTAGGTGTATATCAGAAGCATCTACACTTCGCAGGAACGTTGCCAACTTGCGAAGTCCTCACCTAAAAGTCTTGTTCTAACGTTTACATAAGTCATGACACCTACATTACTAGATTTGGACATTTTCTAATGTATTTACAAATATCAAATCAAATAGTGACAATCTATCAGAACAGGAATTGTCGTGTCACATCAAAGGTCTATCATCCGCATGTATATTGACTGYTTTGGGGCTGCAGTTGATTTGATATACGTGGCGATTGAATTCACTTCGATTTGCTTTGCAAGTTTACAACTGTTTTGTGTAATTTTGCTTGTATTAGGGGGCATTAAGATTTTCGGATCGGACGATTCGACTGTTTTTAGTGTTTATTTTCACAAAGTACAAAAGCTGCATTTTCGATTTTTCGTAAGACCTCTCGTAAGTCCAACCCTTCCACGCCCCCACCCACCCTCCCTCACTACTTCGGTGTCTCAAGTTTTTTTAAAAGCCAGGGCAGTAGCCAGTAAATATAATCAAAGTTAAATTTTTTCATGACTTAAGGTTTTTCCAGAAATATGATACGAGACATTCTTCCAATGCAATTATAGTGCTTTAAACAATTGTGTCTGTAAACTGTAACCTAGTAATACGAAATGGTTTTTCCTTAATTGCTCTGGCCAATGATTGACAGTGTGTTTAAAGAAGTTTATGCACTATTCATATTTGCCATTTGCTTAGCCATTCATCAATTCATCTATTAGATCTATCCATTTATTCATTCTCMCATGAATTTCTTTTTTTCATAAAGAGAATTTAGTCTAGCAAGTTTAATTTTCGTCCTATTAAAGCTACTTCAACATGAGATCATCGACATTAAGCCAAGACTGCGGGTAAACACTAAAATGTACACAACCAGTCTCGGGGATTTACATGATTCGTTCTCACACGAAGTTTTATCTCATGACAATCACTTACCTTGAATTATATTGTTTCCTGTAAAAAAATAGTTTATGCTTGAAATGCGTTGGTCGATTGACAGGATTTTAGATCTTGGGACTCTCTTCACGACTTCTAAAAATGGGTACATCGATAAGGACTAGCAATGACGTACGAAAAGTGTTAGTTGTTGTCACTCTTACAGTTAATTGCCAAAGTCTGTGCACTTTTTCACTTTTAAAGAAGTTTTAATGCAGGAAAAAGTGACAATAGTTCAAGCGTTTGGATTTTTGTTGTAAGAAGTCATCTTGGAGGATAAGAACGTGCCGCACGGGGAGATCTGAATGGCACAATGTTTGTTTAACTGCACCCATTAAACTAGGTAGGGATATAATCTTACTAAAGCTAGGAGAACAATTATTCCATGCAGCGATGTAACAACAGATATAAGCGAGATAAATGCTCGAGATCGTTGACAGGAATAAAGGCAATCTTTAACTTATACAACTCCCTTGTTGTCAACAATGAAGTATAAAGAGATTAGCAGCTGAATTTTTCCCCCCCCAAAAAAAAACAGTGATAAAATAATGAGAAACTATACCGACAATTATATGAAAAGATAGAATACTTACTAAAAGATATAAAATATTTAAATGAATTATGAAAATCAATATCATTGACCAACTACCATATTATATAACAGTGCTTGTCTATTTTTCATGTTGTCCAGTTTCATACCTTGCTGCGATTAAAACCTTACAGTGATTATTGAAAACCTCGGAAGCCTTCACATATGTCGCAGACTTTTAATGAAAGGTTTTCTCTTGTACTGTTAAATATATATATTATATATTTACAACACAACACTTATACTTCCGTACGTGCAATAGGATCGTGTGTTTGCAAACGGCGCGGGTATTTTTAATTCGAGTTTTCCTATGCGGTTCCGTCCATTTTGATTTGTAGCCYATGACGTCATCAACCTTCCGTTCGTAATATTAATTCTTTGTAAATTACCAGTTTCAATATCGGCAAATCGTAAAAATAAGACATATCTATTCTTTTATTCAAACAACGTTTAAGAGCGTTAAAGCAAGTACTTGTATTGTAATTAAAACCAAAATATATGATTGAAAATGTACTTTCATGTAAGCATAATTACTCGTCGTTTTAGACTGTGCTGGGATTCGAGGACAAAAGCGCTGTGATTGTATTTAGTGTCCATATACCCTGCGATCAGAATGTCATTTACCTTGCCGACATGGATTGGCGCAATATATGGAGTTCTAAAGTAAATAATATCTTGATTTCAGTCTCTAGAATACCTGCTGGATCCACTTCAGTCCGCTCAGTAAATGCATGCCGGCCATGTACGGTGTGCGTTGTGCTAAGACATTTAACTGTGTAACCCATTGTACGGCGTTGATAACAGTAACRACAAATAGAATTTCAAAGCGTATATAAAATGAGATTTTAGTTTGGTGATTGTCAGGTCGACGTTTTTCCTGTGATTAAAGCTATATAAACTTAACATAGACCAGATGGTTCCAACCATGCATTCTTATTACACAATTTCCTGTTTTTTAATCTAACAGTCGCTTTCTTGTTTGATCAGTTGCCTTGCTAAAATGATTTTAATTATCTATAATTATTATTATAGATAATTAACGTCATGCGAAGAATAATCATTAGTGTATAACACACTCTTATGACGAATCACAACGAGTTAGTCTCACATGCAGCTTAGATTCAAAACTTGTAATAAACAAAATGTAGAAAAAAAATGTCAAAATGTTGCGTATATGATTCAAACCGTCAACTGTGGGTGTGGCTTTCCCTTTTTTTCAACTCTCTGGTTCAACAGAATATTTTTCTTTTCGACATCAAGTGTAAATTCAAGTTAGTTGGAAGATCCCACAGCGGAAACTAATAAAGTATATTGTATTGTRATAACTTGAACTTTAAAATTAGATATTGAACTAAAGACAGAGTAAACGAGCACTGCACAGCAAAGCATTTGCTAACAATTACTTCAGATGCAAACGCCAGGAACACCACTCGAAGTTTCTTGTTGCCTCAAGACACCACATCGTCTCTCCAATACAAGAAACTAAGAATAGCTAAAATCACGCCCTTTTCTTTGGTGTGTAAGACAAGTCCTTTAGCGGTCGTTTACAAAACCCACCAACATGGACTTCTCAAATTTGTCTGTAGCATGTTTGTCATTTCTTTTGTTAGGTATTTTGTCTTTGACCCAAATATTTACAGTTCTTTATTGCGGGTTGATTTCTCCTCTTTCCCTTTTTAATAGTGGCTGAAGTATTATGAGAAAAGCCACAACTGCTCAAGAATCAAGTCATCCCTGGAAACCTGCAGACCGATATAGAAAACATGCTAAGAAAGCGAATTAAAAAAAAAATTGAGGAAGTTATTATTCATTGGTTCTTAGCCACCTGGGCTCCATATCATACCCAACGGATATTGTGCATGGAGGGCGTGCCGCTTGGATGTCAGTCAAACTATAAATATTTTTTATTAATATAAAAAACTTTTTGCCGACGTTATTATGTCGGGAACAACGCATCGAATCCCGTTGTGTGTTAATTACACGTGGAGTAGGAACTTCAGAGAGGTTGCTGTTCTCTTAYTCGGCTTATCGATCCATCWTAGTCTKSCATGGTGAGAAGACAAATTTCATTCTCAGCGGAGTTTTAAGAGAGGAAACGAGTTGATCGAATRAAGGGAGAAGAGTATACTGCACCGCTGTAATACACGAACRCAACAATTGTTGATTAAATGTTAGCTACAAATAAGCGGTACCACTGAAAGCATATTAAACTGCACAGCACATATATATACATTCATTAATGACAAAAAGATTGTCATACACGTATGTAATGAGAGGTGCATTTAATGAAATTACRCACAGACCTAATGGAAGTCTTCAAAGTATGCGTTTTTGCATTTTGTAGATATTTCTGAAAAACTGGACAACAGCAATTAATAGAGATACATGTTCTATACAAGTTTGCCAGAACTGCCTGACAAATCCGCTTTTCTACGGATAAACTAACCACTGACACGCGCCGAAAATGAGCCGCATCGTAAAGTTAATCATCAACTTCTGAACCAAGGAATAAACGWCCTGTCAATCATGCTGAATACTGGCTTCCTTTTCGCTTGATATTTGCTCTAATTTTCTTTTATTCGYCACWTTTCTTAAACATTGGCCTTAAGAGGCAAACAAACGATGACTTTTGGTCATTTTGAATGTCCTGYYTGTCACATGTAWCAACGCTAGACTAGCCCAATAGATCAGAAATAGCTWGCTTTGTGTACATAACATAATACAGCTGTATCTAAAATACTATGTGAACTKCAAACAGATAATCACAAAACTGTTGTTCAAAAATYTGCCTGTGCGTCATTATCGCCACTAGATGGTCACRTGACGTGTAATTTATCAGAGTGTGACCTTGCTCATATTCATTGTTGATTRTAAGAAATGCGACATTGCGTGGACATACAAAAGCGATTGTTTTGATAACAAACTCATTCTTACAACTAAATATTTGTTAAAGTTCTAAAGTTCCATGTATCTAGAGAAATTTAACCCTACATTCGTGTGAAATCTTATGATCTATATTGCATGTTTCTTAACTGTGTTAATCTTTCTGTTGTGAGTGGCGCTGTAAAYATTYTCGGTATCCCCTGCCGAAGTAGATAAGAGATGAGGGAGCTAGTTTTGTGTACATAATAAAATACACCTGCATCAGTTCTGCAAACCAATAAAAAATACGTCTTCTGAGTTTCAAACGGTCAATCTTCAATTCTGATAAAGTAGTTTAGTAAAAACCTTTTCATTCTAGAAAATTGAAGTTAACATCATATATTTATTATTAATCATTATTAGTAGTAAATTGCAAGCAGGATGAAACTGTAAATAACCCTTGAAAGCAACTTACAGATAATTCGTTAATAGAGCGTTGGAAGAAAACAATAAGTTTATACATTAAGTCATACTGTAACTATATATCTGGCACATCTACTCTGTCTTTTAATTCACTGACTGCTGCCAAATTTGCTAAAAATTGCTACCACAATTTATACTGACTACCAAACAGTTCCTGCAAGACTTTTATTACTGACCATGCGTGTCGCAATGTTTGGCAAGCTAAATAATCACGCCAACATGTYCTATGCTAACAAGGAATCAATCGAGGGCATATGGCTTATTTTTTTCTTATATGCTCACGTCAATACTTCATATTTGCTGGTCTTACTTACTAAAGTATATGTTTTCTTTCTGCATTAGCAGTGTTGCTTCATTTTATGTATTTTTTGATATTTTAATTTTGATGAAAAGCTCTCATAGTCATAATTTAGCTCATATTGTAATTTACATAACGTCACTTAAATTAGAAAAAAAAAACGTTTTTCATTTCTTGATTAAATAGTGAGAGCTTCAAAGAGTTTATGTTAGTGAAATTTAGTTATCGGCTTTGTATACGACTGGACTGCCATCACATTCAAGTTTTTGCTCTATCATCTTGTCTTTTCTTTCAATTGGTAAAAGTTACAGTTTTGTATCCTTTCTTGATCTTGATACTTCAATTTTATCGCCCTCCAAAGCGCTGTTMGATATCCCAATTTCATTAGATTTTCTGCATCTTATGGTTGACTTTATTTTGCCTTCTATTGATCCTCTAGTATAATCAATGATTGTTGTATCTGCCCTTCCATGCTGTCCGCTTAATGAGYACCTCAGTAGYCTTATGAAGCATTTCCTAAAGTTTGTGCTGCASGCGAAGCAAACGCAGGGATTTGAAGCAACACTTGTAATGGACAAAAATACGAACGTAGGTTGAACTTTTAACCACAGAGTTTTCACCAAATGAGCTGGCGGTTTTCGCCTCCAAACCAAGATATCAAGCAGCATGAAGGTATGATACGGGGCCCAGGAGATGAAGAACCATACAATGATGAACACACCAAGTTTGGTGATGCTTTTGTTGCGCTTCCTCCTTGTATTTTCCATCTCTGACGTCTGGTTTCCAGGAATTTCCTGGCGTTTAATATTATGTATAATCACCGAGTACAGCACAGTCATTACTGAAAAGGGAAAAATAAAAAAACAGACAACGACAAAAAAGTAAACGTACTGATGAGATTCCTTAGCTGGCCAAACTGGAATACAGAATGGACCATCAAGACGATAAACGTTCAGATACAGCCCGAAGGTTATTACAGGRATAAGCCAGGTGACAGGAACAATGATCTTTAWCTTGAGGAAGAATGGTTTAGGTCGAAGTGGATAAACAACGGCAAAATATCGATCCAAAGAAATGGCAACCATGCTCAAGATGGACACTGTAAATGAARTATCGCGTACATATGGAGCCAATCTACAAAATATCTCACCAAACACTCCAAGAATCTTATATTTCGTGGAATTGTCAATCGCTTGCTGTAATGWTAATGGTATTATAAATACAACGTACAAYAAGTCTGAGATGGCCATATTTACAATAAGATAGTTAGCATTAGTTCGCATTCGTTGATTAAAACAAACCACCGCAAGAAGACAAGTATTCCCAAGTAAAGATACCAAGCCTATGACTGCATGGCTAACTATGATCGCTACTCTGAGAGCTTGGTGTTCCTTCTCAGTTAGTAGTAGAGCTGGACGCAACGATTCATTRRGTAGAAGTGAAAAATTCTGTCCTGTCATATTTTCCTGTGAATATAACATCTTTTGAAGAAAAACAACGGACAAATTGTTTGTCGTTCGTTGTCAATGTATTCTAAGGTTGGCAGGGAACAACCCTAATACTTATCAATGCGTCGTCACATCACATGCACTTGTCAATAGCAAAAACTCTTTTGAATAGGTATTTAGATAAATTCAGCCTTGTTTATTCAGGACGCTGAGCAACTTCCTTTGGCTTCACTGTAAATAATTGTTGTCAATTACCCAACAAATTTGATTCGCCAAAAAGAAATTACATGTAGGGTTAATAAAAAAATGTGTAATTGGCCCAGTGTTTTCATCATCTTTTTTTTTATTATTTTTTTAAAATTAGACCATCTAATTTTGCCTGATACCGCACTTTAAAAAGCCGTGAGCATTACAAATTATACTATTGTTCGTTTCCAAAGATCATAACCGATAAAGCCTGTTTTCTGTATGATCGCCTGATCGCTGAAATTTCCGTAGGAACCCTCACGAACGATAACAATTTTTATGGGAAAGATAAGACACTTAATCGATGTGTGTAAGCCATTAGTGTGTAGTAAGGTTAGCTCAGCAAAATCTTGAAAAAAGTTACTTTCTAAGAAATKAGTTTTGGAAAAACCCAAAGTTTGCAGTAAAGCCATGACTTTCCAAGTGATCTGGTAAAATAATAAAAAAAAACCACAAGAAAACGGTATTTTTCGTCAAGGGCAATGTCATCCGGCATTCAATGCGGTCGATTCAAGTCGGTTCAGGCCAGCCCGTAGACTCCCCGCAGCCGTTTTCCGGTGTCTTGCCAGYCTGAAGTAAAGTTTGAAAATTCATAAAGTCTTGAAAAATCAACTTAATTTAATCAAAGTCCAAGTACATTATTAGAATTTTACTTTCGAGTACTGTCTTAACACTCATCACGTGATCAACCAGATAACAAGCAAGTTTTTAACTTTGCTTTAAAATGCACTTGCAAGCAAATACTGAAACCGGCAAGTGCTCTTGTTTGCTTTCTTGGATATTAAGAGAAAATCGTTGTTGGATYTTGTCTGAAGTTTTCATTGTCTGCCTTTAAAGATTACTTCAAAGAGTTCAGAAAATGATTGAAGCTAACAAAGGCTCAAAGTTTTGAAATACAATACATGCATCAGTACTTTCAGAGAAAAATGTGTCCGCCATCTTGAAAAGTGAGACCTGAATCATTATGTTGTACCTTAGAACACATATTGTAGTTGCCAAGTCATCTAATCTATCAGTATATCATATTATATTAAGTTATATTATCTGAGAATCTTTTTTAAAATTAAAATTCCTTTAGGAGTCATAATTTAGTAATTCTAGTCCCACTTTTCAAGATGGTGGGCACATTGTTCTCTGGAAGTACTGATGCATGTATAGCAGATTCCTAAAATGGTTTATCAATTGGGTGAGAGTGAAACAGTCTAAGCAATGACTTCAATACGCCACGTATTCAGGGTCGCTCCTTGTTAGCTACACACGGCCACCACTTAAGTAATTTGCATAAAGGAAATCAACCCTCAAAAAGACAACAGTCCATACAATGTACAAGTACCTGTTGGCAATTTCGAAAAATTTGAAGGCAATTGGTTAAAATTATATTCAAAGAGAAATTGAGCATTGAATCTGTATTAAAAGAATTTCTAACTATTAGGTTACCACAGAGTGYTCAATTGATTAACACCCATACCTTAAGGTAAAATTTAAATAATGTTTATTGTACAATATACGACAAACAGCAGCAGGGCTATACATGATATATAAACTAATCATGATCTTGAAAATAAAAAGATTGCAWATTTGAAAAAATGTCCATGTAGCCCTTCATTTTGTAATGTTTGTGCTTCATTGTAAGTCGGCATATATACAGGGTGTATTAATAATGTATCTTCACAGCAAGTCTATTTTTCAAGAGGAGCATAGTTGAGAAGCTTTTCGATCAAGTCCACATGTGAAAGAAGCATTCTTCTACAGCAGTAGCGTTTAAGTCCCAGCGCATCTAGAGCATCACTGCAAAAAGAGGAAATAAGACCTCTCAGAGTGGTTGTAGTATTAGCATCAGGGGGTGGGGGTGGGGGAAGGTGGTGTTATGTGCAGATGCTGTTCATTTTTTTCTGGCCAATGTTGAATTTTAGAGATAAGCATACCTGATGGAAGCTTAATAACATTGTTTGGGGGTAGGGGAGCGTGTGGAACTAGAATAATGTTTGCAAAAATGTACTAAAAGTTAGGTTTACTTTCGTTTTTTTTGTCCAAGCTTGTGATTAGTAAAACTCGAGATAGAAAATTAAATAACAAAATGATCAATTACACGTAACCAGACATACCCTTCTGTATATTCAGCTTGTAACAAGCCAAGATATGCTTCCCACTTATTACCAACAACCTTTCCACATGTGAAGCATCGAATTGGTATTATCATTGTCGATGTACGCTTAGAACTGAAACATACACCAAAATATTTATCAAAAAAACAATCCTAAACCACCAATAACTTACTCAAGACAATTATTTGTATCTTAAGTACATTAGTTCGATCAAACACTTACCTATTTCCAAATAAAAACGTCTAAATTATAGATATTTTTGGACAAAACTATAACATTCAGAACACTTTCGCTCCTTTCGCACGTTTTTTACACTAGTACCCAGTACTTCCCGTTCGTTTATATCCAAAACCGCTGATCTTATCAGTGGGCGCAGATTCCAAAATGGCGACTCGTGGAGTATCTGGACTTTCTCTCTTTCTACGAGGGACATGCAAAAATTACAAGGTTTGTCAATTCCTAATTGAAATTTTTCAAATATTAAAAGTTCTGATTTTYCCTGATTCATTTTACTTGAAAGTGTAAAAATGTTTTCTGTATTTTAGCCTGCAGCTTTTATGTCATGATCGTGATTAAAGACACGTTTCTTGAAGAATTGTACAATGTCTTTGTTTATATGGAATGTAATTTATTGTTTTATTAGCGATAATAAATACTGGAAATATTCAATGAAATTTATTCGAAAATCTACGAAAATTTTTATGATTCACATACATTTAGATTTAGAATCTACTGATACTCACTTTATTAAAAAAATTATAAACTGAAAGATGAATTGTTACTTTAAGCTTAAGCTATTTTCTTGTCAAAGGTTTCTGCATTGAGAGGGTGTAGTCCAAGGTATTGCAACTTGCATACTTCTCCAATATCCAAAGAAAAGGTACAGTACAATATGTGTATATCGTAAAATAATTTTATTTCTCTACACAGTAATACTCTGTTAAAACTTGACATCCATTAATTAATTAGGCACAGCTGTTGTTTKTATGAGTCCTCATTGTCTAGTAACCTTCATACAGATATCATGCAGTGTCTATATTAGTRCTGGTGAAGGATTCTGGCCAGGAGCTCAGTGTCCTACTAATAAATTTATAATTTAATAAATAATTAATTTATTAAATTTATAATTTATTTTAAATTGTTGATATTTATATATTTTGTTGATTTACATATTGTATCAAATTTATTGTTCTCTGACATATGAAAAAGACATGATATAAAATGAAATAATGAAATTTGAGGCTGAATTTGCAAATGTTACAAATGTATTTTGTTGTTCTTCTCAACAGTACTTTGACAAGATCCTTATTGCAAACAGGGGAGAGATAGCATGCAGGGTGAGTTCATGGACTTAGGGAAATTAAGATTGGTATTTGATTTTTCAAAATTGTACAAATTCAGTCTTGTAGCAACCCTATAGCTGCCATTTTCAATCTATTATCCATCAATCAGCCTGTCCAAAAATACAACCCTGTCATTCATGTAGCATTATYAATTCTTTACTTTGTGTTTATTATATGGGTAATGAAAGGTAATGAAAACATGCAGACGTCTTGGAATCAAGACTGTTGCTGTATATAGTGAGGCMGATGCTGATTCAGTAAGTACATTACCATATTCACTATGTATCCAAACAAATTATATAATATACATGTATTTCTGAAGCAAGAGAGTATGATTTTAATGTTTGTTGTATGTAGCTTCATGTAAAAAGTGCCGATGAGAGTGTATGTGTCGGGCYACCACCAACAAACAAGAGTTACCTTAACATGGATGCAATAATGGATGCTATACAACAAACTGGAGCACAAGCTGTAAGTAAACTATTTGGCTATTGATATCGATATTGGTTAATTGATATAGAGTTTCAATGCTATCAGTATAAAACGTTAATGTTGTCTCTTTGAATAGGTTCATCCTGGATATGGCTTCCTTTCAGAGAATTTTAGATTTGTAGAAAGATTGGTAAGTTTTTTGTCATTTTCTTGTTTTGTTTTCTTTGTTTCTTTGTTTTTTTCTTGCTTGCCTGCTTGGTTTTCTTATTTGCTTTCCTCAACTGCTTGTTTGTTAGCATTCTTTTAAATCTATAACCTGTGTGTTTTTAGGACAAAGCAGGAGTTACTTTCATAGGACCATGTACCTATGCCATGAAGTGCATGGGTGATAAGATTGAAAGTAAAATTATTGGTAAAAAAGCGGGAGTTAACATAATTCCAGGATATGATGGAGTAGTCAAGGTATGTACTACATGAACTATTCTAAGCAARCACACAAATAATGCTTATCATAATATCAGGGTCATAACCAATGTTTTTATTTTGTTTAGGATGTTGATGAGGCTTTAAAAGTTGCCCATGACATTGGTATGTCCTTAGAGAACTGTACTGCTCTGTACTGTTATTGTTTCTCTAATGTTTCATTGTCACATTTGTTGATACTTTTGAAAAAAGGAAGAAACCCTATTTGTATTGTTTGTGCAGGGTATCCTGTGATGCTAAAAGCTTCAGCTGGAGGAGGAGGAAAAGGAATGAGAATTGCCTGGAATGATGATGAAACCAGGTACAGTAGACCTTTTTTTATATTCAAAGAAGATTTGACCTTTGGATTAAAATTTGCAAAGCTTATCACATATATATATATAGTCATAATCTTGTTTTATYCATGTTTTCAGGGAAGCTTTCAAACTCTCTTCACAAGAAGCCTTGTCAAGCTTTGGGGATGACCGTCTTCTTGTTGAGAAGTTTATCGATAATCCACGACACATTGAAATACAGGTGAGAAGTCCTGTGATTTTTCCTTTTTGTGACAATTGCACATATTGAATTTGTCAAGGAAATATTAAGTCTTTCTCTTGATAATCATACACAATTAAAACTTTATTATTTATCAGGTTCTAGGAGACAAGCATGGGAATGCTGTAAGTAGAACAAGTGACAATAGAAATGGTTGAAATCTGGAGTGATAATTTCCATCACACCATTGAAGCATCCAAAAGAAGTTGCTCAATATTATAGTGAGATACAAATTAGTAATCATCATGGAAGGCAAAAGACTAGTGTATGATTCTTATTTTTGTGATTAGATATATCTCAATGAAAGGGAGTGCTCYATTCAGAGAAGAAATCAAAAAGTGATAGAAGAAGCTCCCAGGTGAGACAACTGCATTATTCCATGTAGTTAATGGTTAAGAGCAGTGAAAGGGAAAAATGATGTATAAACATTAATTTAGCCCACCAAGTTTCCAAAGTTTTGAAGTTCCTGTAATATGTAAATAATCATTGTGTTGCACACTTAATAAGCTAAATGTATTATTTTTGTAGTCCATTTGTTGATCCAGACATGCGTAAAGCAATGGGTGAACAGGCTGTAGCTTTAGCTAAAGCTGTAGGCTATGATTCAGCAGGAACTGTTGAGTGTCTTGTTGACTCAAAAAAGAATTTCTATTTCTTGGAAATGAACACACGCCTTCAAGTAGAACATCCAATCACAGAGATGACRACTGGAGTTGACATTGTGGAACAGATGATTCGAGTGGCTGCAGGTAAATAGGTTTTTTTGATCTTCATTCCTAATGGATGTTATTATGATTCTGTTCTCAGCATTTGAATATCATTATTATAACATTACTTTCCTCACAGGGCATCCTCTTGAATTGAAGCAAGCTAATGTACCTTTAAAAGGCTGGGCCTTTGAATGCCGTGTTTATGCAGAGGTAATTACAATGAATCATATCATTTAGCCCAGTCTCTCATTTGACATGTGCAAAATTTGATTTAAACAAAATTTATGATTTTAAAAACATTTTTTCTCAACAGGATCCCACGAAAAACTTTGGTCTTCCTTCCATTGGCAGGATTTATAAATATATAGAGCCTACGCATATCCCTGATGTAAGTCCAGCTATGAGTTTAARCACAGTATATTGCTGGTAGTAACATCATTTCATATGTTGTATTATTGTAATAGGTACGATGTGATAGTGGCATCATTGAAGGCAGTGAAATCAGCATCTACTATGACTCTATGATTTGCAAGGTAACAAACACTAATTATAATGATTCATCAACCACCAGACTAAAAAAACATCCATATTATAGTTTTAGTAATCTCTCAGTATCAGTTGGCAAGTAAACACATCTCCACCATTTCCTTCACATGCAAATTTGTTCTACCAATGACGTACTGGAGACTACGGCAAGCAGTGTTTTAATTTATATAGTTGGACATACTAAGTAAACTAATGTAGCTTGACATAACTAGCCTGTTGAA